GATCAGAGTTCATAGAAGAGGTCCACGAAACCTTCAAGATTTGAAGACTGTTTGTGTGGAAGAATGGGCCAAAATCACACCTGAGCAATGCATGTGACTACCGTAGTTTCTCCATACAGGAGACGTCTTGAAGCTGTCATTGACAACAAAGGCTTTTGTACAAAGTATTGTAAGCGTGTTCAATGCTTTTTCCCTGTGCCATTCCACATTATTACAAATAACTTCATTTCTGGACATTTATGGTTTGATTTCTTTGTATGTATGGATCACTTGGGTTGTTACCAACATCTGGTGAAAATTTCGTGTCATTAGCACCTCTAGTAATATATTTACTGAGAAAAATGGTGACGTGTTCAATACTTATTTTACCCGCCGTACAACTGGGATTCAAACCTGCAAAGTAACGTGGTATCTTATCGGGATGTGAGTCCCAAATGTCACGGTAWTTAAAACTAGAAAAATAGCATTTCCTGCGAAAACGCTTGTTGCTGAAAACTTGCTGAAAGCTTCTGAAATGATGGTTAATAGCAAAACAGTTTATGCTAATTCAGTTTGAAAAACTGAAAGAAGAATAAAAATGTTCAACTTAGCAGAATAATGGCTGAAAGGAGCAGAAATGCAGCTGAAAAAGCAGAGAAAAGGTAAAATTAGCTTAAAAACAAGCTAACCACAAGTTAAAAAACTCCCAGACGGCGAAAGGGTGTAAAAAAAGTCTAATTAGCAGAAGAGATACATAAAAAGCACAAAAATGTAACAATTACTTGTAAAATAGCTAAAGCAGCCAAAATTTGCAGCAAAACAGCTAAAATGTAGCTGGAACTTCCTAAATTAGCATAAGGAAGCAAGCCCAAGCTTTCTGTACTAATAGAAAGAAGCTGAAATAGTTAACAAAATGTGAATTTAGCTTAAAAAAGCTAACTTTAGCTAATAACAGCTGAATATTAGCATGAATTGCATCAAATAGCTGAATTTAGCAGAAAGAAACTGTAAGAAGCAGAAATAGCTCAAATTAGCCAAAAGAAGCACAAAAAAGTAGAAAATAGAAAAAGAGTGGCAGAAAAAAGCTAAATTATAGCAAAAATAGCAGAAAAAAGCTAAAATTAGCACAAGGCAAAAGAGCAGAACCAAAACAAAAGTAGTAATGTTTTGTAAATCTGAAGGATTTTAAGAATGTAAACAATAGCTCCATTCATTTTCAATGGGAAAAATGTGGCTGAAAATGAAATAGCTAAAATATATATAAATAGTTGAAGTACCAAAAGTCAAAGCCAGAATGTCCTGAAAAATGTGATTACATGRCTTGATGGTCGTTTGGTTACAAACATTCAGAGTTGATAAAATATTCACATATTTTCCACAATTTTGAGAAACTTACATTTATTCCTGCGACAATAAAATAGCCACAAGTTCAAATCTGCGATCAACAGCAGAGGTAAATGATCTGCACAAACAAATAAAGGAATTACGGCTAAAGCTGCAGTTTTTTTTTTACTTTAGTCTCAGCAGCCTAGAAGTTTCTTTGCAATCGATTTTAGCGAAGCTGTGATGTGTGTGGGAAGATTAGGTCAGCTTTAAAACAGGAGAAACAGTCTGTTTCTCTGCACAGTGTGCTGCAGAACCAAAGCTGAATGAGTCTCATTATATTTACAGCACTTTACTGATGAAACATGCAGCATTTWATATCCATATTCAGAGAGACCCTTGGCAGTGCAGAATACTAGAAAAGCAAAGAAAAAGAATACAAACCATCAGCTTTTTTATATCATTACGTCTTAGACAAAAGCAAAAGTAGGACAGATGTTATACACTCCAGTTCTCCTGTGAGTTTATTAATAATAGTGACCGTTTTTACAGTTAATAATCCATTTAGATAGGTTATTGTCGTTTCCTCAATACCTGTTTTTGAATTAATTGAAAAATCTTACATTTATACATAGATTTTGTGTAAATCCTCCATGACTGAGGAAGAAAAAAAAATGCCAGCTTGGAGTTCTCATAAAACCAATATGTGCAGAATAATTTCCTATATGAGGTCTTGGTTGTTTGCGTCCCCATGTTTGAGACTGCAGCTGTACAAGCCCAATAAAACGCTGCTTCATGGCTTTAATGACCTGGAGCTCCAGGAACAGCCAACCTACATTAGAGCTGCACCGGGGGACTGAAAAACAGAAGTGAGGATGTTGGTTTAACTCAGTTTTATAAGCAGATATTAACTGATTATCCTCCTGTTGAGATCATTTAATAGCTGGTCGTGTTTTTTTTTTTAAACTATCAGTTGCACAGAAGTAGCTGCAAGATTTAATACTCGGGAGACAAGATCAACAAACTTCCACAAAACTTGTCTTTGTTGCTTTTTATGCAGTTGCCAACCTTTTCTGGTTCTTTCAATGCCATGATCTGTCACATGCAGAATAAATAATTGTGGTAATGCTTTTTAAAAACAATCTCCACAGCTTGAAGTTTTTTTTTTTTTTAGGGAGGCAGCAATCCACTTTGTCCTTGGTCAGAATCTGCMTACAGYTYATCAATCARGTCTAAATTAAACWCTGTTTTACCAAACTACAGCGATCTACACCAGGTAAGATATTGACTGTTTATGAATTTTCCAGAAAACYGTCAAAATGTTCAAAATATCCCAGTAAAGTCACCGGAGATTTAAAAATACAACAACTTTAAGGTTTTTACGTGAAAATTAGACTTGTCCAATGGCTTCATCGTTTCTAAAGAAGGATACCCTACCAACAGCGCCACCTGCTGTTTGTTGGTGGTAATTAGCATTACAGTGAATTACAAACCGAAGCAGCAGTTCAGAGCACATCCTTCAGTGTGCATTTTGAGCAAAAATGAAGTCTCCATTTTTAAAACGAAGAAGTTCTCACTGACAAATCCAACCTCTGACATCTTGATCCACTGATGGTGAACTGCTGAAATCTCTCTGGGTGCGCAGAATAATCAATAACCCAGCCCAGCCACGGAGCCCAGCATAATCTTCCTCAGGGTAACTTTAAAATTTAACGCTCACTTTAATAAAGTTATCACCAAAAAAACAAACAAAAAAATCTTCTCCAGAACTTTTTTCTTCTTCTTCTTTGGCCACGAGCGATKTCCAGGCTCCAACTTTCTATTTATTGGGTTAATTCACTGGGAGAGGAGGAGGAGGAGGTAGAGGAAGGAGGAGGAGGAGGAGGAGGCGCAGACTGTTCCAGGAGTTGCCAGCAGAACAGAACGTGCGCGTGTGGAGGAGCGCCAGAGATGAGCCGCGGCCGGATGTGCGGCGCTCCTCGTGCGGCTGCCATCAACAAGTGAGATCTTTGATTGGTTTTAGGAGGAAAAGACGCGCGTTTGGAGACATGAAGCGGAGGAACTTTACCCTGACAGAGCAGGTAACACGTAACAGCAGGCTTTTAAAGACAACTTTAAAAAATGTGTTTTATTTCTTTATTATTATTGAATAAATCTGATTTATTTTTACCCACAATGGAGCCTCTGAACTCATAGGACTCTTTTCTGCAGAAAATGGGAAAGAAGTGGCTGAGTTAACATCTTAGGTGAGCTTTTAATTATAATTAACCTTATGAAAACTCAAGCAATAGTAGAAAACCATATTATGTGATACTCAACTGTTTTTTATCATTATTTTACTCTAAAAGAGTTTTTTCTGTATATGTTTAATAAGCTGGAAAACATTCAGATATTAATGCACCTTGAGCCAGTTGCACAAAATTTTCTTCTTGCAGTGATTTTCTTTGTCCTTGTTAAATTGTGCAAATAAAATAGAAAAAAACATAAAATTTTATAATAAGTAGATTACTCACTATATTAAAAATGATTGTCCTGACAATCACCTTATGCCTGTTTCATAACACCACTGCTGTCTACCTKCACTTGTGTGTAAATGCGTGTGTGTCGTGTCTTTCCACACCTGCTGCTGAGCTCAGACCAATAAGACTGCTGATGGGCTCCTTTTAAGAGCCCGGAGGGAGGGAGAGACATTATGATACGAGGCCTGCTGCCCCATTWAAAAAAAATAAAATAAAGAAACTAAACTGGGGATCGGGGCGTGGGCAAAAAAYGCCATAAGACACATAATGGGCGACCTTGAACCCAGCAGGGGGTTCAGTCTGTGATCAGTTTAGCTCACAAGAGTGAAGAGTCCTGGAGTGATGATGCTCCTGCAGGACAGATGGAGTAAATTTAGAGTCTGTGGCTATTCTTATCACAGGGCTGAGAATGAGAGACGGCAGTCCTTGAAATGAAGGAGCTGTGCAGAAAAAAATTAAATGACGGGGGGGTGGGTGTTGGATTCTTATTGTACAGGGAAGGGCTGTATTTGTTACAGCTTGTTCCTCCTTCTTCAGCTGTGAAATCCTGTAATTGAGATTGATACGAGCCATGCTCCATAATCAGGGGCAGAATTACACTCCGCCTAATTGAAAGGGAAAAAYGCATTCATTGACCTGTAAGTGAGTGCGTCTGCTGGTTTATGAGATTTGCTGGAGAGAAATGATTTTCCCTCCAAAATCGTATTATTTTCGAAATATGTGCACATTTTGAAAAGACAAAAACATGATGCATTGCTCTAAAACTAAGAACCTGTCTTGTTTTGTCTATTCAGTGGAAAACTAACCCTGTTGTCTCTTTTATTTTTTTCCCAGCACACAGCTTGTGGACTCCGGTGTTCATTTCATGATAATCTCAGCAACAAACCCGAGACTGCAGCTGGATTATATCAGAAAAGCAACCCAATTTCTGGATGAGAGAACTCTTTCAAAACGATTTGAATGGATTATCTCCAGAGAAGTTTCCACGTTTTTGCAAATATTTTTGGCGTTCTGAACCCTGATGAAGGGATTATCAGCATTTTATGCTGAAAACCAGATTGAAACATGACTCGTTTTGCCTGACAGGTCTTGTGGAAAGTCACTGCTAATTATGCAGGACTTAGCAGGGCCTGGTTTGTCCAGGAAGACCCTAGGCTATGCCCTGTACTGGGGATTGTTTCTTGGAATGCTTATTGCAAACAAACCAGTGATGGCTTGTCCTGTTAGCTGTCACTGCGTAGAGARGAATGGCTTGACTGTTGTCCAGTGTATGTCTCGTAACCTGGAAAMGATCCCGCCAGATCTCCCTAGGGATACGGTTGTCCTGCTTTTAGCAGCCAACCACATCACCCACATCCCCAACCACGCCTTCAAAGAACTCCACTACCTTCAGGAGCTGGACCTGTCCAACAACGACATCGAGACCGTGGACGTCGGGGCGTTTCAAGGCGTCTCCGACAGCCTCCTTATGCTGGATTTATCAAGCAATCGCATCCAAAGTGTCCCCAAAGATGCGTTCCCTCGCCTGCGGGCGAAAATCAGCCTGTCCAACAACCCGTGGCACTGCGAGTGCACGCTCCAGGAGGTCCTGAGGGAGCTGCGCCTGGACCCCGAGACGATCAACGAGGTCGTGTGCCACACGGCCGTGCAGGAGGAGTACGCGGGCAAACCGCTGATCCAGGTGCTGGACTCAGGGATCAACTTCTGCAACTTTCACCATAAGACCACGGACGTAGCCATGTTCGTCACCATGTTCGGCTGGTTCACCATGGTGATCGCCTACGTCATCTACTACGTGAGGCACAATCAGGAGGACGCCAGGAGGCACCTGGAGTACCTGAAGTCACTGCCCAGTAACTCTCAGATCAGCAAGGACTTTGATACCATCAGCACCGTTCTTTAGCAGGAGGTCGGTGTGCAGCTGAAAATGTTTGTTTGGGTCGATACAAAGTGACTGGAAAGTTGATGCTATGGGGTGCTGTTTGTAAAGTTACACAGTCAAAAATTACCACCAACAATTTTGTTTTATTTAGCCTTTTATAAGAAAAAAAGAACAGATTTTTTTTCAAAGTCAGTTTTTCACCATATGATTCATACATTTATAAATGTCTTAATTTATAAACTAAATATTCAGCTTACAAATTAAATATTTAGTTAACAAGCTAAATATTTAACTTGTGACTTAAATATTTAGTTTTGAGCTAAATATTTAGCTATGTACTTAAATATTTAGCTAGCTACCTAAATATTTAGGTTGTAACTTAAGTTACAACCTAAATATTTAGGTAGCAAGCTAAATATTTAACTTGTTAGTTAGATATTTAGTTTTGAGCTAAATATTTAGCTAT